TGAAATTTTCACTGCTGCATAAATTTCAACAGATATCTCAACGCAAATTAGCACAACTTATATTCGGTAGCAGATCATCTTGATGAATTTTACGAGACCATCACATAAGATGTTGTTCTGGAGATATTTCATTTCGCATAATACAAATATGCAATCGGTGCATTGAATAAGTGAGCATTGTTTTGAGACAATATGATAGCGCGAGAGAATCGTGACAAAAGCTAGTGATTATCGCTGCAAATTATACATGAAACATTTATATTCTGGCGTAATATTTATTTGCATTAATTCATTCAAAAGAGATTTCTCGATACGCCTGAAAGAGATGGAAATCGTTTTGAAGGCATTCATTCATCCGAGACGTCAGCCTTGCTCAAAATCGCAGTCGAAGTGAAATTCAGCCTTCATAAACAGTAATCAAAGTATACAAAACGATCAGTAAATAATGATCTTATTATGAGTCACTGACAAAATAAAAGTAACTGAGCTGCTCGAACAAAACAAGAACAATGCGATTTCACATCTGCAAAATTCAACAACAACGATAACAACGGCAAAAGTGCAACCTGTACTCACTAAAGTCGGATTTCACTGGATCCTAAGTAATCAGCCACTTATAACTCTCGACTGTTTATTAAACAGTTCACCAAAATCATCAAAATGCTGTGCTGCTGGTACCTTGTATTCCACAAATATATCACATCTTAGGCAAACACTTAAACGTAGTCGATCGATTCGATAACATCCAGAGTTAATGGCTTCACCGCACCCAATCCATCCTCGTCTTGCATCATCCTTTTATGAAATGTCTTGAAAGCGGCGACCCTCGACGGATTCGACTTGTAGCCCATATCGACGTATAAATTGTTTGCACACGCTTGAGGTGACTTTGACTAANTGTGAAAGATTTTGGCTTTATCTATACAAATGTAGTGAATTCACTGTTTCGCTCAAATTCACAATAATGAGAGCCAGTGAATTAAGAATTCAGATTAAAAGTTGTGAATAAGTGACGACTGAATCACCACTGCACACCAACCTTATATTTGATATTTATATTCGTCCTCAAAAGTCGACCGTTTAACGCTTTTAAAGGTCGATAATTAGGCGACATAAACACCGGATTTGGCTGCTTGGTTTCTGTTTGCTGCAGATCGTTCCATATTTGCAGCTGAAAGAGAGACCTGATAAGAACACTGGAACAGAAACATTGAGGGATTGGCACCGAAACTTCACTGCTTTCAATTTCTTGATAAGATGTTCGTCTCCTTTCTTAGCATAAAATTTAAAGATTTTTTGCTACAAACCAAAAAATTTCCTAGATTAGGATTAAGTAAAAATAATTTCATCGAGGAACGAATAACAATAAAGGAAAATTTGAAAAAGGCAAAAGCGCAGAGCTCACATCTTCTTTGGTGATATAAATTGGATTGTTGATGATAATCCAAGTAACGGTTTCATAGCAACCTGGAAACGTCAACGATCCCTCGTATGTGATATAGTCTTCTGTATGAGGCAGCAACGCGTACGCACTGAACCTCTTCACAAGCGTTTTGGATCCTCAAATGAATCTATTACATTCAGAATATCACTTCATCAGAGTTTAAATTTTTGATACAATTATCGAGAATTTATTACCAAATAAAAATCAGCAACAAACGAGAATACAAATCATCTCTGCGCTCGCCAAATATATCAATAATCCAAATTAGAATTTCAAGAAGACAGATGATTTTCAACGTTGTTATTGTTAACTGCGTGGAAAGCATGTCAACAAAGGAAGAATGTGATATCAGTGATATTGGTGATAACAGAGGGGCATAAACTCGTAATAAGTTGGACTTGCTGATTAAATAAACTAAGTAAATTAAATAAATGAATGAATAAATAAAACTCAAAAAACAGTGATCGAATCAGAAATTTTATGGCGCAATTGTCCAATTCATCCTCAACCTTGAAATGATCATATCCATTTGAGCAAACGGCTATCCTATTGAAATGTTGCTGGCAAGTCACAAATAACACTGCAACAGGAACCGGAACAAACCTTTGTATGTGATGCTTTGTGAGGCTACCGTTAGCTTTCGGAGCTCTGGATTTGTTATTGAGCCAATCTAGAATCATCGACAATGCATCGACATTTAATAACTCTAATGATTCACTATTCAGGCATTAGCTAATAACTCTTTCAATAACTTCGAAACTGTTTTCATTTTCTTTAAACTCAGTCGTGAAATTCTAACGACAGTTTTGATTGCCTTAAACAGGAAATTTCACTTATTGAAGATTGATGTTGCTTAATTAGTGACCATTAAATATGACCAAGTAGATCAGATGAACCCCACTTTTTAGTTTAATTGTCATGCAGTAGGAACTGAACAGAAATATTTGAAAGATATTGCGATCAATGGATTCAGAGGACTCACATCAACAATAATTGCTATAGCCAGCAGACCACGTGGCTGAGACATTGCTTCAGTGAAATTTGTATATAAATCTGTGTTATATGCAATCAGTTGAACCTGAAATCAGCTGAACGAATTGAAATTTAATTACTGATTGAATAGGTCTGAACCATAGATAACCTTAAGTTTCCCACTATCAATAGTGATAGTTGAGAGTTGTCAAGACATTCAATTTGAGTAGATTAGGATTAATGTGACCGATCAGCCATTATTCGAAGCGAGAAACACAATAAGACTGCACCAATCACTGGTATCCAGTCAGTCTGCCTGAAGACATTTGGCCTAACGACAGTTTGTCATAAGGCACATTGCCTAACG